AACTGGCGCAAAGACGGTGTATGCTGCCTAGTCGGGTTACGCAAGGTCGCAATGTTCGGATGGAAAATGACGCTCATACCTGGCTCTACCTCCTGATGCGCTTAAATCCGCCGCGGTCCCTTCTGACCGCATGTTTTTTTTGTAAAACATAAGAACTCCACTTTCGGGAATATTCGCGAGAGATATTCGGACTGAGGTTATCGGCATACTGGAGGGTTCGCGAGGTCGAGGTCAAACTTGCAGGACGAACACGACGGTATACCACACGACAAACGCCCACTACTGGTCATTTTGATGACTGTCATCAAAGTGACCATAGCTCCATTTATCGTATGCTTAAGAAATTCGTTACTGTCATCGAACTAGCCATTAAACATATATATATGTACTTATATGTATATATATAAGTGGATCATAAAGAAACTACATATTGATTTGTGTGGATATATATATATATATCCACACAAATCAACTATCCTTCATGTGTTTTACGAAGCAGATAGCAATACTACTTTCTCCTATCCCCTGTTAATGTCTCCTGTTAGATGGTGCCGCCATCTAACAGCGAGACATTAAATTATTTCACGGGAAATATTTTTCGTTGAAATCGCCATTCACTTGAGATTATTTTCAATAGATAGAAAGTATAAAACATGAAACGATGATGAATTGTGTACAAAATCAATATACACAGAATTATCTCCATATTTCAATAACACCTTACCGATTATTAAGTTATTCTAGTCACAAAAAAAGTGGAATGATTCGAAAAACTCAGGTGGAACTTCACTGGGAAAGAGGCCGGCAACTACTGACACTGAGCAGTGTCTGCGTGTATACTATATAGTACTTGCGTTCAAAGTCCAAAGGCAGCAGTAGGAAGTGGTACTCAATACAACGGGTGCTGTGAATATTTTATATTAGTAAAGGCTCATCCGCCAATGACTTAGCGTTTTGCCTTGTTTTTGAATGTACTTTCGGCATTGGGCGATGCGCCGACCATTCAAAAACAAGGCAAACATTTTTGTTTTGAATGTACTTTCGGCGTTGGGCGAACATGTTCCACAGATATACCTTTATTTGCATCCTCTTATAGGAGGAAGTAGTATTGCTATCTGCTTCGTAAAACACATGAAAGATAGTTGGATCATAAAAAACCTAAATATTGATTTGTGTGGAAATTGATTTCGCTACGTTTTGCAAATTACATAATAATAAGCCGATAAAATTTTTCATCGCCGATTTGAATTCTTGGCTATTTTTTCATGTATTCTATGAAAATGGGAGGATAGGAATTGAATTTATGGGTATTGGTTCATTATTCGAGAAAATAGATCAATTCTAAAATTTTCTCTAGACTTGAAAAATTAAAAATTGTGTTGTCGTATTGATCTCCTTTCTCCTCCTCTTTTCACTTTCTTCCATCAGAATAAGATAATAGAAAGAAAATATGTTGGTTTTTCTTCATTGTTAAAAAAAACATTTTGAAATTTTAAAGTTTGAAAAATCGATTTGTAAAATTTATTTCTAATTTTCCTTCCCTACATTTTCCGTATTTACTGTTTCTGTGAACAGAATACGATCACACGAATTAACAATGTTGATGTCCCTTCATTTTTTTAGAANTTGATTTCTTCCAATTCTATTGGTAGTATGCTTCCGAATGGATCCGTAGAAATTTTATTTTTTCATTGAAAAGTGGAAATTTTTATTGAAAACGTTTCTTCGGAATGATTGACCTTCCAAAGTTGATAATTAAATTTCTGTTTTATCCAGTGGGATAGACATATTTACATGACCCCATTTTAAAGAAATATTTCCATATGCAAATCAACGATAGACCAACGATCTGTTATTTTAGGCGAAAAACATTTTTTACATCAAGCGTTCTATTTCGAAAAGTATTGAATCGATCAATCTGAAATTTTACACAGTAGTGCAGCTCGATGATACTAACTAGTTCTCAACATTTTAGAAGTTGTTCAGGAGAAGATATTTAACCTTTTAATAAAACGGATTTATGGAAAAAAATTAATATCTTCCAAACCACTAGGCCGATTACGCCCATTCAAAATACGGACCTTTAATATTATGAGAGATATAATCATACCAAATTTCAACCTGCTATCTTCTTTTTGTCTCACGTTATCGTGCACACAAGAATAAAAAAAAAGGAAAAACGGGAATATCTCGGAAACTTTGTATTAACGGGTATACATATTTTGATTGATCCAGATAGTGGCCGCCGGGACGAGTATTTTGAAAAAAAAATTGAAATCCGTCGAGTAGTTCATGAGATATTTGAAGAAATAAATTTATACAAAAACTTGAGTATCTCCAGAACCGCTTGGCCGATTGTGCTCATTCAAAATACAAACCTTTCATATTATAAAAGCTAGAAGCACACCAAATTTCAAGTCGCTATCTCCATTTTTTCTTGAGTTATCGTGCGCACAAGATTTTTAATGAAAAAACGGAAAAACGCCAATATCTCCAAACTTTGTATGAATCGGTATATATGATGTGATTGATCTAGGTAGAGGCCATCGAGACGAGTATTTTGAAAAAAAAATTGAAATTGGTGCAGTTGTTGAGATATTGAGGAAAAACGAAATTTAAACAAGTTGTTATATCTCAGGAACTACTGCACCGATCGGGCTGAAACAACGCACCAAAGTAGAGCTCACTTATAGCTACCATGAGCTAAAATTTCAAATTTGCATCTAAAAATTTCATCGTATTTATGGTGAATTTTCTAAAAATTAATCACCAAAAACCCAAATCTGCACATATATACATAGGGACATGACCCTAAAAACATCATTTCTTCACGTTTCATGACATTCTAGACCATTTGCAATAAAAATTAGAAAATCGAAAATCGAAAAAATACTTGAAATTTTCGGAATCGTTTTCACATGTGCTCAACAACATATGATCCAAATTTTAGGTCTTCAGTTCATTGCGAAATTTTCACCAAGTATAAATCACTGAGAAAGTACCTTAAGGAGTAAAAATATATATAATAACAATCAGAACGAATAAAACTAAATCAATCTAATTGTGAAGACGAAAATGGAAAGAAAATAAAATAACATGGTATAAATTGATCTAATCATATAGTTAAAATTAATCAATGTTATTATGATTATCGTTACTGAATCGTAGAAACTTATCCATTTCCTACTTCCATTTTGCCATTTTCCATTTTTGGATGGTGATTTGAATTTAGTTTGGATAAACTTATTGAAAATAAGACGATAATTAAGTAATAGAGAATAACTCAGTAATAGAGTAAAATCAATAAAAGAAAAAGTTAAAGCTAGTGCGCCCCATATCACTCAGTCACAAAGCTTCAATTATTGTTCGTTTTTCACCCGTGACACTACGTGAATATCGATCGAATAGATATTGAACAATGTTTGATAGTCGTCTACAATATACTTGACCTGTAATAATTAAAGTCTTTTCCATTATCTTTAGTTATTGCTTACATAAAATCAGAAACATGTATTGTAAAAAACGTTTTCTAATTATTTCCTAAAAATTAACATCTATTTATTCTCTAATAAAATTATTCATTAGACACCTCCGAATTAGATTAACCCATTCTTTTCTGGTTATTTTTACAAGAAATAAATTAGGAGAAATCCATTAGAGGATATGTTTTGAACAGAATTTTGTCACACTTATTAGTAACAGTTCTATTCGCAACTGTCATAAATCCCTGCAATTTCAGTATTTTTATATCGAATCATCGAGAATAAACACAAATGGTAATTAGTGAACTGTTGGTGATTGCATTTTGTGAATTTCCGGAAATTCAAGTTATTTGTTGCGAAATAGTTAATGTATTTTCCACAGTATTGTGGGCGGAAAATTCCACGAATAGTTAACATAGTTGCAATATTCTCCTCACTGAGTTCTGAAGAATCGATTCCACGAGGCATAAAACTGTTGGTTAAGTTAAACAAGACAATTTCATTGATCACACAAACTTGTTAAGAATTAGTAATTTTAAGGGGATATTTAGAAAAACCACTTTTAGAGATAAAAAATACAATAACATGCCATGATGAGACCTTGAAAAAGTGATAAATATCTAATTAATTTCATAATTAATCATGGCCTTCAATGCTATAATTTCGTCTTGTTATTACTAGTTAGCAATCCAATCACAGTTCTAATGTGTATATTTCAATTTATGTTTCAGTACTTTGGTCCCATGGAAAATATTTAGACAGGAATTGAACCAAGTTCACCCAATAAGCACTGGACTGCAGGCCATGGCGCTCAAATCAACAATCGATCTTACCTGCAATGATTACATTTCGAATTTTGAGTTCGACGTTTTCACAAGGTCAGTAGTTGAGTAAATTCATTTACAAAGATTTTAATAGTCTTTGAAAAATTTTACAATTTTCTAGAGTACTTAATCATATCTATAAGTCATTTCCAGACTGTTTCAACCGTGGTCAACGTTATTACGCAATTGGAAGATATTGGCAGTCACTCACCCTGGTTATGTAGCTTTTCTGACCTATGACGAGGTGAAGGCACGATTACAAAAGTATTGTATCGCCAAACCAGGAAGTTATGTGTTTAGACTGAGCTGCACGAGATTAGGACAGTGGGCAATTGGATATGTTACATCGGATGGTGATATTCTGCAGACGATTCCACATAATAAGAGTCTGTGTCAGGCACTTCTGGATGGTTATCGAGAAGGCTTGTAAGTATTTCAGAAGATTCCTGTCAATTATAGAATTTTTCATGAAAAAAATCAGCTTTTTTTGTAGCCTAGAAGTCGTTTTATAAACTGTTTTCTTCCACCACTTTGTTTCCAAAATGTCAATTGGATATTTTTTACAGATATGAATAATAAAACACTTACGAATGATAATAATAACGACGAAAGATCCTTGCCATTTTGTATTTTACAATTCACAAAAATTAGAATTTAATTTATCACGAAGGATATTCAATGACTTGGGGAAAATTTCATCGTTTGTATATTTGCTTTAAAGCTAGTCAATTCTCACAAAGGTGTCCAAAATTATGTCAATCTCTGAAATGGATGAATTCCATAAATTGTAAACTTTAATCATTGGATACTCAATGGATTTTCATTATATCTATTAATGGAAAGGCCAGATAATTCATGAATTTTCCATAGCTCTAACGAACTCTCCGGAACAAATTTGAGATAAAGTTTGAATAGGTTCTACTATCATTCCGTCCAACTATTGTTTCCAATTTTCCAGCTACTTATATCCAGACGGAAGGAATATAAATCCCGATTTAACATCGGCTGTTCAACCAACACCAGAGGAGCACATTAAAGTGACAGCCGAACAGTACGAATTGTACTGCGAAATGGGTAGTACATTCCAATTATGTAAAATCTGCGCTGAACATGATAAGGACGTGAGGATAGAGCCTTGTGGACATTTGTTATGCACACCGTGTCTGACAGCCTGGCAGGTAGTAGTATTTTCTTCACGTTTGTGGTCTTTCAATCTTGGAATGTAAGTTTTATGTTGACAGTAAAGTGATGAGAAGTTCAGAGAGGAAAGGTTCTAGCATATAGTAAAAATCTCTGCTGTATCGAAATCTAGCCACAGCAAGGAATTCTGAAAATGAGTGGAATATTCCCTTATTTTAGGAAGGTCTTGCGTAAAAACCAGAGAAAAAAAATCAAATTATTAATAATTTTAACATAAATCTAGTATAATTGCCCTTGATTTACGGTACACTTCCTCAATAACAACCTTGGCAATCTTGAAACAAGCACATCCGAATTGCTTTACAATTAATCTACTCATGTTTACAAATCCTTTGTTATTCAAAATTTATCAGCTCACTCAATTAATATCGGATGAATGTTCAATAATTCCAGATTGTTTTTTTTTTTCATTTCAAAAGTGTTTAATTTCAGATCCAATGATTCTTCTTCTCGTTTAAAATGAGTAAATTTTTTATATCGAACTTTAGGGATTTTTCTTATTATAACTTCTAGAACCATGAGTTCCTTAGAATGAAAAACTGGGTTCTGGAAACTAGAATTTTTTTTCTTCCAAGAGGCGAGAGGTCAACCTAGACGCGGCATTCATCCGGAAGCCATAGCAATGAATAACCGATGATCTAATTTCTTTATGGACTCGATTCCGAATTTGCAAAAAAAAGTGTTGATTCATCAATTGTTTGTGAAAATAACTCCCATTCAAATGGATGTGATTTCTTAATATTCTTGAGATCTTCATTGAGAAAATCGGATGCTTCATAACAAAGGTGCTTTTCACCTCATTATTCAATACTTTCGAGTGTGGAAGAACACTGAATAATCAGTTGATTATAGAATGATTGATAACCTAATCACAATTTGCATTAAAACGTTAAGCTTTGCCACTGCGTCATAAAATACTGGAAATAATTCTAAAAAAAACATGCCTGATCACCACGAAAATGATTTCAAGAATTAATGGAAAATTCTATCCCTAGGGGAGGAATTGTATCAAAAGCTATCGATTACTCTTGACACCTCAGTATTATATGGGACATGCTAATGTTTGAATGAGAATACAAAAAGCTGACTCTATAGAATTGAAAACGAGGTCAACGATCCCTTTTTTCTCTTCTCCTTTCATAGACTTTGTGAATCTAGGTTACTTCTAGTTAAATTCTTGTACTGGAAGAATCAATTTTCAAAAAAAAAATTGTATTGTTTCTCAGCAAAAAAATGTTCAAAACAAATTGTATTGTTTCTCGGAAAAAAAATTGAAAAAATACCGAGTAACCATTTCAATGCATTGTTGTGGAAAAATGCCCGAGTACTTATTTATGGATAATTGTTTCTGGGAAATTGAAAAAAGTGTAGAAATAAAGAAGAGTGCCAAGTTCATGAAGTTGAACTTGTGATTTTGAAAAACCACAGAACTTTTCATAACATCTAGAAACAATTTTAGCTTTTTTCTACAGTCGGCTTGTACTGTTGCAAATTTTATTAGTTTGAACTCATCAATGCCAACTCAATATTGTCTATTCCTGTGAGTTACGAAGTGGGTACGACCATAAAAAGTGTGATTATCCACACAAAGTCAGTGAAAAAGAGTGTCAATACGAGTGTTTCTTTAAAAAAAAATTGTTCAGAAAATTCTCAGGACCAACGTACTTGGCGCGGTTTTTTATCTTAATGCGGATCCTTATTTGGGAGTCTATTATTTGAGATTTGAGATCCACTTTGAGACTCCGAAATTGCTTTGAAGCATACTACACCTTGCTAGGTGTTCAAATCTTTAGATACCCTGGAGATTTATGGAACACGTTACGTCTACGGTATAGCGTCCCAACAAACAGTATGCCGACAATTTGTCGACAAATTGCCGGTGTCCTTTTAAATTTTAGATGGCACTGGTAAAAATTGTTTTCTGGAGTAGATGTTCCGTAGATGTGTGTAGATGTGCATTTGTGGGCCTAAAAAGCATGAAAATGATCGAAGTAAAGTGAAATAATGATTGGGAAGTTAATTATCAGAAGATCAGTGTCAGTTATCACTCATTAATTGAGTTTTTTTGATGAATTTGAAGAAATTACTGCTAGTGTAGTTAATGCCACTAGCATTATTCCGCGAGATGGCGGCAGCGCCGAATTACCAAGTAGGTCGGTCAAGACAGCAGCACAGCAGCAGTCGCAGGCCAGCCGCAGTGATGCCAGATGAGCAACTCTGCCGCGCACCCACTGCCACTGGGTATACGCAACTCCCACAGTTGAAATCCAATGAATTTTATGTCAGAAATAATCTTTCGAACCGAAAACAAATGAATATGACGTATTAAAAATTAAAAGACCATTATTACAGGATTCTACGTGTTAATTTATCGATTAATGGTCCTTATTCCTGATTTATTGGAATCCACTTAAGATCTAAAAACTTGAAATCGTCTTTCAACTCAGATTTCTCAAATTTTAAGGATATTAAGAATAATCGAGCGAGGAGGAAATGTAGGAGGTGAGGCGGAGGGGTTTCTATATTGTTTTCCTGCAGAAAACCAATCGCTGAACAAAAAAATTTTTCCCATTCGGATTCAAAATTCAGGCAATATTAGGGAGTATCTCCGGTTAAAAATTATTTTTGGAGCTAATCAAATTTATTTGTATCTGTTCCACGCAATGAATAGTTTTCAGATTGTTTTTTTTTTTAATAAATGAAAAAATATTAATCCATCCGAAAAAGTGGCAACATCGTCGGTAGTATTTTTTTTTTTCACCAGGAGCTGGTACCACTGGTTCGAGGGAGCTCCAATCACAACGCTTCATTGCTTTCTCTTAAGAGACGTTTAAATTGACCGCGCTACCCCCACCCTATCGGTATTTGAGACGTTGCTGGTCGTTTGGGCAGCGTGCGCAGAAATTTCATTTTTCAGTACTTTTTTCGCTATTATTAATAAACAATGCTCCTAGGCGACAATCTTTTTCACTCAAAAAATCATTGATCACATGTTCTAAATGTGTCTAAAGTTTCATGACTTTGGCTGCTTTTTTTCCTTGGGTTTTGCAGTTTTTTTTGTGATTTCCATAAGATCACGGGTGAAATGACCACTTTTTCAAAAATTCATAATCAATTAACCATGTTCCCCAGCCGTCTGAAACTTTGCACACGCCTTTTTCAGCATTTAAAGAATACGAAAAAAATAACAGAAAAATGACTGCTTTTTTTCTAACCCTCTGGGCTCGCCTGATTATCGTTAACATGTTTGAACGTTGCATTTCCTTGCGACCCTATATTAACGTAACGTCAAACTTCATGAGGATCACAAGGCAATGGTCAAATTTCACGAGGGTCACACGGGAATGATTAAATTTCACGAAGGTTGAATGTTACAAGGGTCAAATATCATAAGGATCATGAAGATCACAAGGAGAAAGTCAAATTCCACGAGGGTTAAGCTTCACAAGGGTCACAAGGAGATGATCAAATTTCACGAGGGTCACAAGGGAATGATTAAATTTCACAAAGGTTGAATGTTACAATGGTCAAACTTCGCGAGGATCACTAAGGAATGGTCAAACTTCAAGAAGGTCAAACATCACGAGGGTGACAAAAGGATAGTCCAATTTCACAAGGGTCACAAGGGAAAGTCAAATTTCACGAGGGTCACAAGGGAAAGTCAAATTTCACGAGGATCACGAGGAGATGGTAAAATTTCACGAGGGTCAAACATCATGAGGGTCACAAAGGTTAAAAGGGGAAGATCACATTTAAGGAGGGTCAACGTTACGAGTTCTTCATGAGGGTCACAAGGGAATGATCAAATTTTACGAGATTCAAACATCACGAGGATCATGAAGGTCACAAGGGGAAGGTCAAATTTCGCGAGGGTCAAACTTCACGAGGGTCACAAGGAGATGATCAAATGTCCCGAGGATCCGACATCACAAAAGTCACAAGGGAATGATTAAATTGCCCAAAGGTTGAATATTGCAATGGTCAAACTTTACGAGGGTTAAACATCACGCGGGTCACAAGCGGAAAGTCAAATTTGATGAGGTCACGAGGATCACCAGGAGATGGCCAAATTTCACCGGGTTCAAACATCACGCGAGTCATGAAGGTCACAACGAAAAGATCACATTTCACGAGGGCCAAATAGTCCATACGCTAGCCTTGTTTCTGTATGCACTACGAAATTGAGTGAATGCTTAATTGTTATACCATTATATCATGGAAACGGTTGCGGATAGGGAAACAGGTTTCAAACAAAATCTTTTTGTCATATAAAATACCCATTCTCTGTCTTGAAACTTTTTTCCCTAACTATTATAGATAAAGAGTTATGTGGGGAGGGAGTGGAGCGGGCGGCGCATTAGTCCGCGATGTGTCGGGGCGCTCCGATGCGTATATCGGTAACTCGATAGAGATGGAGAAAAATTGTTCAGATAAAAAATGTTTGCCATCATATTTTATATACCAGTATGTTTTTGAAATTTTTCTCCACACCTAGCCGTTAATGGAATATTTACCCTCTTTTGCTGCATTATGAGGCAAATTACATCCAACGTTTTTGTTTAATACCGTTTCGTGAGTAAATGGTTCAAGATACGGAAAAAAATTTAGCATCAAACTATTTCACTCATAAAAAATACATAGATTTAATGTTATGTCGTTTTGTCATATCTCCATTATTTGCAGAGATATAGCCCGTTAAGTGAGAGCGCGGGCGGTCCACATGCTTACCGCCGACACCTCGCGCAGGGGCTAATGCACAGCCCGCTTCGTTCCCACCCCCGATTACTCGTTATCTATCATAGTTAGGGATACAACAAAAAATGTGTATTTTTATATTTTCTAAATTTTTTGTTTGAAACTTTGTTATCTATTTGCAACGGTTTCCGTGATATGATGGTTTAAACGTTGAATCGTTATAGATAAAAAAAGTTGACCACAACTTCCAAAACCCGACTTCGGATTCAGATTCAAAATCACCGGTAACGTAAATTCCAGTAATAACATTTATTCAATTCGGTTGTGCATAGA